TGATTTTGACCAACACAAAACAAATTTAATTCACTAAGATTTTAGAATTTATTCATCTCAGATGACCAAAACAAATAACTTGCCTTGCTTGATATATGTCTCTTGGATTGGTCATCCCTGCCTTAGACCATTAAGCTATCAAAACAATCACAACCTCATCTCTCATCTTTCTGTCATCATCACTTTCTTGTGTTTTATTCCATGTTGTATTATTGACTACTCAGTAGCAGTAATACCAATTAGTTACTTTTTGAAAATTCAGAAATGAAGTGTGGAGTTAGCCCACTTACTTTTCTAACAAAAAAAACTGTCAGTAGAGGACACTTTCTGAACCTATAAAGACACTGTAATATTTTCTAGCATTCTCTTTTTTCCTATTTCACCCAGGGACGGTAAGATACAAGTTGAATGCTGAGAAAGGCCTGCACACATGCCGGCTCTCTTTTTCCCCATTTTCCTTAGACACATTAGGATGTAGGTCTATTGTGAAAATGCATTTACCATTGGGAAACACACACACACACACACATGTATGTAAGCAACTAGGACCTTTACACACATTTCACATGCATAAACAATTCTCTAGTCTTTAAATGTTTTCATGCATGTTCATTGTTTTGTTACATACATACAATATCATTGTCTTGGTCACTCACAACAATGTAAAATTTTGTCTTTTTAATAATACATTATCATTTGTTTGTGCATATATATATATATATATATATATATATATATATATATATATATATATAGGTTTTAGTTGTTTCTTTGTATTTTTATTACCTGGACAGACATGCAAGTCCACCATTTTTGCCGTGGGATAAACATTCCAGGAAATATGTTTCCCAACTTAAACCCCAGCATACATAACCCCCGCAACAAAAGTCATTAGGACTTGTTACTATTAAACACAAATGAGTAACCAGCTGCTGCTTGTCACTGGTTGGCCAGCAGCTATTGCGATTTTTGTACCAAATTATGTCAAATAATAGATTGCTGTGGATTTTTTGGGAGGATGTATATTTTTTCTTTTGTTTTAAATGACTGAAAATATTAAAGCGATAGACGGAGTTGTGTCCCTTGCACCTAATTTAGAATCATAAATACTTTAACAAACATACGTGTCTTATAATGTATACACCTATAAGAACTCGCCCTTCATATACAGACAAGCAGATACTCACAGTCTGCTTAGTTTTTTCACAACATTTTTCCCATGCATTTCTCCATACTACACTTTCATTCACACTGTGCACACATCACCTTTTAGCCAATCATGCTTGAAATAAATTGTTGTCAATTAATCCTCATCAGTATATGAGAAGATAATCAAACCGTGATAACCCATGTGAAATGTGAATTATCACTTGCTCTGCTGGAGTGGCCAAGAATGGTGGTCATACGGAGAATGCTGACATGTTTAAATGGTAAACATTGACCCAACAGCAAGTCACGAGACATCTAGCGGTTAGCACTGTAAGTAGTGGCTGGGTGCATTTTCTTTTATTTCTTTCAATGGGACAAAGGCTGTATAACAAAATATAAATGTTAATTTTTATCTGATTCTAATGGATCCCCTGAAACCTATCCATAGACTCCAGGTTAAGAAGCTCTGTTTTAGATCAATGATCCCTTCATGGAATCCATAATATCTCATTGACATGTATAAAAAAAAAAGATCAATAATAAATATTTTTTATTTAAGGGTAGAAATTCTTTTGCCTTTTTTCTTTGTTATTGTTTCTTGAAAATATTCATTTTGGTTTTCCTTTTATTTTTATTTATTTTTCAATTTCTATTTCTTTTCCTATATTAGATGTATTTGTTAGAAGAAGACAGTGACCATTTCAGTGAACTCTGTTCTTTTTTTTATTTAAGGTTAGACAGTTCTTTGACTTTTTTCTTTGTTATTGTTACTTTCATTTTGGCTTTCCTTTTATTTTTATTCCTTTTTCAATTTCTGTTTCTCTTGCTAGACGTTTTTGTTGAAATAATAATAGAGAAAAGCTTCATAGATACTTGTCATTGTTGTGAATACCATGGACTGAACATGTGATTGTGGGCAATGTGGAAGTTTTAGAGAAAATGGAAACAAAAAATACACTTATACTTAGAATCAGGAAGTGAGAGTTAAAATTTTTTTGGATGTAACAAGGAAAGAGATCTTGGAGAATTAGATACTCACAGAACAGATTGAAGGCTAGAAAGACAGGAAAACAGCAAGTAACCACCACCCTCAAGAGTTTGTGTAGTGGGTTCACAGAACAGGGATTAGGATGGCAAAAAGACAAACCTTACTAAGAGCTACAAAAGACAAGAAGTTGTGGAGAGCCATGATCAATGCTTCAATATGTAGGAATTCTTAAAAGCTATAGAAAACTGATCTGCCACTTTATGTCTAATAAATTCTAAATTAATAATAGTCACCCATTCCATCAAAAGTGATAATATATTTTAAATCCTTTTTTTTGTTTTTGTTTTTTGTCCCTTTTGGATGTAGGTGATCATGGCTTTCCACTGATTTCTTTTCTTTATATGTGAATTACTACGATGACTTCTTCAGAAATATTGTGGAATAGTTTCTTGTTACCTTCTCTGTGATTTTACATTCTGAGTAGCCCCACTCTTAGACTGACTGCCTTCCAACGCAAAAGAGTCTTGTCTATGCTTCTATTTAACCAATTGATGGATTCATGCCTTTCCCAAGGATGAACATGACAGACTAAACCAGAACTTGAACTTGGCATGTTGATTTCACTCTCAACAACAAATAACCCTTATTCCATGCACACATCTTACTCTACTTATAAAATCTCAGAGATTTGAAGATTGTCACAACTTTTTGATGGTTAAATTAAGTTCATTGATTTTACATATCAACCCATGTTGGGTTATTTAATGTTGAATTTTGTATGGGTCACCTAGTGGACATCAGACTCTCTATTCAGTTGTAATAGTCAGCCAGTCATTTTGTATTTTATTTTTTGACGGTATGGGTCAACTTGTCAAATTATTTATGTCCAGTTAGTTGGATAACTTTGAAATGTGGTAAATAATGAATTTTTCTTTTTTGTAAATCCTGAATTGTACTGAGTATATATTTGTTTGGAACTGGCAACATATGGATATGAACACCAGGATCAAAAAGAAAAGAAAAGATGGGAATCACTTGGATAAAAATACACAACACAGTTGTCAATGAACAACAAACACAAGATGAAAGCGTAAAAACAATTTTATATGACAAAACAATTGGACAGATAGAGAAAATAAAATAGCAAAACATAAAATCAATAAAAGGCTCTTACCTGATACTACATATCATTCCTGATTACACTGGTCAACAAAAAAAAAATATTTTGAAATGGTGTTGAGGTACCAAACATCATTTTAGCTAATTTGTGGATGCTGAATCTGAAAATGACCTTACTTTTTCTTGGTTAGCTACTGTTATTGCTGTACAGAAATGCCTCATTTTTGGGGAATAAAAAGCATATTTTTCTCATTTGTTTTCCATATATATGATATTTTGACTGATGGCAATATTTCTCAAAATCGTAGAAACCTCTCAATTCATATCTAAACCAACAAATATTAATCTGCTTATTTAGAAATACTATTTTTGCAATAACAATCAGACCGTAAGTCTTTAAAAATAACACGATTGAATATACCAAGATCAGCAAGTATTTGCATCAAATCATTTAATAAACTAACAGCAGAAATAAAACCTTTGTGAAGATAAGAAGTATGGTAAAAATTTTCTCTTTCTTGATTGTCTGTCATGTTTAATGTTATTTAAGTCCCTTTTGATACTCAAGCAATGGAATAGGTGTATTCAATTGGGATGCCTTTAGTTAGTTTCTTTCCAACTATGAAAACAAAATGCTTGCAATGTGCTTGATTTCCTTTGGTAGTGAAGAGATAAAAATGATGGGATAAATTTATGAATATCAAACAAGATTTTAGGGTTTCATTTTTTGATATCACCTTAACTATCAAGTTTATTAAATTGTATTACTGATAAAGTTTATTGGTTAATTTGAATTTTGGTGAATTTTTTTTGGAAAACTTTGGTATGTCTATTTTTAAATTTTTGACTCAAAAACAGTTTTTTTTATAAAAATAGTTTATTTTGGGTGGCTGACATAAATTGTTCAGCCTACATAAAAATTGATGGGTTTCTATGACCTTTATTAACTAAATTTTGTGATCAGTCAAGATTGTAAATTAATCTTTTATCCAAAAATGTGCAATTTCAGTACAGCAAAAGTGGTAGCTAACAATGAAAAACTAAAGTCATTTTCAGAATCGGCACCATCAAATTAGCTAAAAAAAAAAATGTGTTTTGTTTCTTGGCACCAAAAAATTGTGTTGACCAATGATATCCATGAATCATGAGTTCATAAATTGAAATGTTCATAACAGCAAATGCATAAAAGTTCTTTGAAATGTCCAAATGAAAATCAGTAATTATTCCTACTGCAGTATAACTGGGAGATTCTGGAATGGTACCTGTATTTCATTCCATTTCTGGAAATCAAAATAAATCCAATATAAGACTGGGGAGATTTCTTCAGGAATAATATTTTCTTATTCTGTACACACCTAGTAATTGAGTAAGTCCATAGGCACATTTCTAATGTGTACACAATGAGAGTCAGTTGATTTGCAACCTGGAAATTGAAAAATATATTTAAAGGATCACGTTTGGCAGTGCATGTCACATGGCCTTAGGTGACTGACTTTTACTTATTCTATTAGGAGGTCAAACTGTCTGGTTTTCTAGTAACCCAGATTCTGTCCCGCCATCTCTCAGTCCAGACAGGAAATAAAGAAAGAGTAGAAAGAAAGAAAGAGGAAACATGTCCTTTGATAGATTGATAATACATCTGATTTTAATTTAAAAGTCACAATTTATATAAATATATATGTTTGCTCAGTGTGTGTGAGAGAGAGATTCTCTTTGTCAGTGATGTTTATTTTTCTCTTTGCAGGACCTAAGAAATCTTCGCTTGGAGATTGGAGGAAATTGAAATGTTTTGTGGTTGGAAAAAGCACAGCTTCTGCAGGTAAATTCTTTTATCCCCACTAAATTATCCTTGTGTAAATTAATTGAAACAACCATTTCAGTTTCCTTTCTTTCACAATACAGTCAGTTTTAGACCCACTGGAGTGACAGGGTGTAATCAATTTCTATTTTTCCTCGGATTAGGTAATTTACAATGATGTGCAGTAATATGAGTCTATTTTCAGGGTGTATGTTGAAATTTGTTTGGCCTTGAAAAATATTGCATCATCAGTGGTTGCATCTGATTTTTATCATGCCCGGACACTATTGTCCTGACTCTCGATTAATTGTCTTATGGCCATTGTCTGCGATGGACATTACTTCAAGAAAGCATATCAAAATTTGTAATGCTGCATGAACACACTGGCAAATCAAAGTACTATTAACTGGCCTGGAAACTCTCCTGATGTAAATCCAATCAAGAATCTGTGGTCAATCTGCAAGGAATGACTTTGTGGAATGGGCATATGAAGTGCTAACATCTGCACTGAGTCATAATTCATTGGAAAAATACAAAAAAAAATGTCTGTCTGTATCAATTTAGATGAGAACAATAGTTTGAAATAAAAAAAAGTATATTGATAATTGCTTATAATTGAAATGAAATGCTAAAAGATAATTATTTAAAAAGTGTATAGGGTAATTAAAATTCTTCTTCCTTAGTTTCATTAGACTCTTTGGTGGAGTATAGCAGATGTAGGTGCTGTGGTTTCTATTGCAAGTATGTTTTTACAGAGTAGTGTTGCAAGTCATATAATGAATTGGTTTTGAATTCAGTATCACAAGTCTGATAAACCAGTCTGCCCTGTTAACTAATTAATTGTCTTATGGCCATTGTCTGCGATGGACATTACTTCAAGGAAGCATATCAAAATTTGTAATGCTGCATGAACACACTGGCAAATCAAAGTACTATTAACTGGCCTGGAAACTCTCCTGATGTAAATCCAATCAAGAATCTGTGGTCAATCTGCAAGGAATGACTTTGTGGAATGGGCATATGAAGTGCTAACATCTGCACTGAGTCATAATTCATTGGAAAAATACAAAAAAAATAACAATGTCTGTATCAATTTAGATGAGAACAATAGTTTGAAATAAGAAAAGTATATTGATAATTGCTTATAATTGAAATGAAATGCTAAAAGATAATTATTTAAAAAGTGTATAGGGTAATTAAAATTCTTCTTCCTTAGTTTCATTAGACTCTTTGGTGGAGTATAGCAGATGTAGGTGCTGTGGTTTCTATTGCAAGTATGTTTTTACAGAGTAGTGTTGCAAGTCATATAATGAATTGGTTTTGAATTCAGTATCGTCTTTCGTCTAGGACTAGTTGCCAACCAAGTCTAGATAAACCAGTCTGCCCTGTTATTTTACTAATAGCTGTTATAGATAAAACTAATTAAGGAACAAAAATAAATTTAATGTCAGATAATTTGAAAATGTCTTATTAAAAAGATAAATAGATTAGCAAGCATTTTTTTTCTTTTCCAGCAACTGCTGCTGGCTTCAAGAATATGATGGGCCAAGAATGTGGGAATGCTGAAAAACTTGCCGAATTGATTATCAATGGTGAGAAAATTTATTTTTTTTGTTTTTAAAGTCTGGGGAACATTGTTGTCATTTTTTTCAAGCCTCTCCCTGAATTCAACCTCCAACGTCAGATACATCAGTGTTTACAAGTATGACAGTCTCAAAAGAACGTTTTCCATGCATGAGCATCAGAATCTCATGTAGCATCACAACTGGCTGCAAAGTTCAATCTGTCAGAGGCAGACATGGCCACAGATATTGCATGTACTGTCCTGTCACAATGATGTTGATGGTGTGGTGGTGTCCTCCTCCTCTTTGTACTTTCCTCTCCAGAGCATGAAAAACCTGTGCAACATGTATTAGAGACTTTCTTTTGCCAAATCTAAATGTTACTTCAATAAAACGCCAACAATATCTGTCTATATTTCTGAGATGAGGTATTATGTACATTATTTGCATTATTCGGACTATTGTCCTCATTCTTTGCTTCAAGAACACCAGAAAGCTGTAACATGAGGGGAAGTGGAAAAATCAGGTGTGGCTGACCACATATGGAGAGAGAAGGGAGATCACCACCCTCTGTGGGATCAGGTTGAGATCATAGACAAAGAACACCACTGGAAAATTTGTAAACTTAAGAAATCAGCATATATGCTAGGCCACAAAAATCTCCTGTGCTGACCAAGCATAGAAATGAATACAATATGGGAACCACTAATAAAGAGTGCCAGAGAAAAGTGATTATAACAACAAAAATTGAAATATGAGCTCTGGTAAAAACATGCAATGATAACAGCAAAAATTGTACTGGTATAAAATGGTTGATGAAGACATTAGGTTTATAATACCCAGAAATTCATAAACAAGGCACAGTGGATAAAGCTGTTGGTTAGATCCAGTGACAGGACCCAAAAGAGTGTGAGTTCAATACCCGGTTAAGGCAGTGGAGAACTTTCAGAGGGAAATTAGCAGGAGATAACTGATAACTGACATCCATTAAAACATAGCACGTGGAACTAGAACAGTCTACCCCAGTGAGTAAAATAAAGGGTTCAGTTCGACATTTCAACCACCTGAAGAAGGCTGGAGTGTACAATGGCCGAAACGTTGTAATAAATATGGTGACAAAGATGAGGACAATAGTCCAAATAATGTAAATAATTGAAATGGCTGTAAGTTCTATGCTAACAGTTTCTTCTCTCTCTTCCTGCTTTTCTTGCTTTCCAGTCAAGTTTAGTTTTCAGAAATTTAAATGCAGTGTCTGCTGTTATTTCTGTTCTTATTGTTCCTTAATAGTAATTTTCTTTTTCTTGCATTTTTTCATATTTAGTAACTTTGTGTCTTAGTGGCTTTGTTGCCTTGCTTGGTGTAAAATGATTAAAAAAAATAAAAAAATAGTGCTCTTTGTAAACATCCTCAGCATGTGGCATTGTTGAGAATTTTCTGGAAACAATACAATGACTTGATCCAGTCCTTGTAAGAGAAATTGGGATGATGAATCTCTTTGGGATATGGTTGTGATAGCGTTACAAGTCATCGTGACTGAAGGTTTGAGTGTACTGGCCTTGTTCAATTACTGATCATACCAGATTATGAGATCTTGCCCAGAAACCGTAACTGCTCACCATACTTACATTGTAAACCACAGATTAGCTCTGTGGGTATTGAAGAAACCCAAATGTGCCTGAGTTGGCATCTGCAACAGGGATTAGCTAGGCATCCTATCAGAGGGGATATACTCAGAAATGAGCAGCTACTCACTGTATTATAGTTGCCCAGGGACAATATATATTGCTACCTGATATAGCAAGCTCCAGTACACTCTGGTGTGAGTTTGAATCTCATTTGATGCTATTTGTTTGGAATTCCTTTGATGTGATGGCTGAAGAATTGATTGTCCAGTATTGCTTTCAATTCAGTTTTCAGGTTTTGAAATCTTCCAGAGTGTTCTTTGTCTCAAGCTCAATATTCTCTTTGTAAATGTTGCTAACAATTCTTTACACACGCTTGAGTTTACTTCATAAGTATCATGAACACATGCATTGCTGTTTGTTGCTCAGGAAATTGTTTCTGTTGATGTTATTGACAACTTTCTTGTTGATAATAGGTTCAAAATGTTTTTTGATAACATGAAAAAAAAAAGCCGATGGGCTGATATTTTGATGGAGATGAGTCCCCGTGGGTTGGCAGTGGGGAGTTCAAACCTGATTGGGGGCCCCTAGGCAGTGCTTTGTGATCCTTGCTATCTTAAAAATTTGCTTTTTTCTACCTACATTTATATATGTTAAAAATGAAACTAAGTACAAGAATTAATTGTTTTAGAATTAAAATTTTTTACAGATTTGGATTCTGGATTCTTTGTTTGGTTTTCATCCAAGTCTGTGGATTTGTTTTGCTCATGCAAAAACACTAATGTTGAATTAGTGAAAAATTAGAAAAATTTCAAGTAAATGTTAGAAATTGCTGCAAAACATTGTTGATTTATTTAAGATGGAAGGATCTATTATAACGTGTCTCTAATTTATATTTACATACATTGTATTTATTTTCAATTTTTCTAGTTGAATTGTTCACCTATTTTGCATATGGCCCATTATTCTCCATAATTAGGTGACAATAAAATTTATATTTTATATGAATATTACCTTATGAAAATTGAGATTTAGTAGAGTGGGTGACCTGTATCATAGATTTGAATAAGGGCATAAAACTCTAGCACTGGCCCTGCATACAGCTGACACTTTCAATAGACTTGCTGTGGTTAAATAATTTTGTTATTTTTTGAAAAATTCTTCAGAACAATGATTGGACAGAGGAGGTGAGAATAATTGCTTCTTTTATGGAAGTTAAAAATGTTATGTGTGTATTTTAGGTGAAGGTGTGTGTGTTTGGTATGTAAACAATAAAGATAGAAGCATACAAAACTCTAGTTTCTACTATGGATGTTTATTCTTTTTATGGTGACTACAGTGAAACAAAGTAGTTCTTTTTTGGTTAGTTAACAATGGTTAAAATAGTTGAGCTCAAGCCAGCTTTGTGCTGAATTGGAACAACCAATTCACCTACGTCATGAGTATGGCTTCTGAAACATATCTGAATGCAGTTCTTTGAAAGAGAAAAAGAGAGAAAGAGTCCTTTTCTGGAAGTCTGTGGGGGTGGGGGGGATCATAAAATTTCAGATGAACCAGAAAAACCCTTTCCTGCTTCTTTATTACTTTCATCATCATTGGGAAAATGAATTTATTTTTTCTCTTCTTTTTTATTCTTAATTATTTTATTTATTGGTTTTATTTCATTTTTCCACACTGTAATTGGAATAAAGAATTCACTTGATCTTTCTCTGAGTATTGATAAATATGAGAGATATCTGAAGAAGTTCCAAGTTACAGTGGTTGAAATGTTGTGATTAGAACAATAAAAATGAGGTTCCCAGTCTGAGAGACTTGAACAAAAAAAAAAAAAAATTGTCTCAGAAATTAAGAATTGAACTAAATCAGAAATCTTTGTGCTTGTACAGTGATACTCTAACCACTGGGCTGTATATTTATACTTGAAATCATCGCTCAAGAAGAATTTTTCTTATTTTGAGAATATAAAAATAAATGTAAGTGTCATCAAAGATAAGAGAATTAAAATGGATTTGAGGAATTTTATCTTGGATTATGGTGTGAGTTGATCTCAAAGATGTGTTGAGATCTGGAAATTCCTCATCTTTCCCTGCAGTTCTTGGCAGAGTTTGGGTTGATCCTTATCTGGGAATGTCTTTGAATAAAATGCTTTTTAACAATTAAGAGAGCAAAAAAAGAAAAATAAATAAATAAAAAAAAAAAATTTCTTAACAGGAAAATGAAAAAAATGAAGTTGGCTGATGTTGAATCAATCATAAATTTTGTGCGTATATTTTTCTCTCAACATAATGTGTCAAGTATTTTATATCTAATTTGCGAATACGAGCCATTCCCATAAAAGCAAATTCAAAGGGTGTCTTAAAAAGTTTGAAAATATTTTAAAAAAATTACCAAGTAATTTTAAGGCAATGTTAGAATTTTATTATTATTATTATTATTTTCTGATTGCCTTAAAAAGTTGAGCAACATTGAACTTGGTCATTACCTAGATGAGTGACTGCTTGGGAATACCAGGTGCTTGGATGTGTGAGTAGTGTAATGGATAATGGCTCAGAATTTTTAATTGGAGAGCCAAGTTCCAATTCTGTTGGGTAGGTTAGGTTATTTTTGTTTAGCAATATATCAACACCTTCATGGGTTATTTAATGCCAAAATATAATTATAAAAATTCAAACTTTATAATTAATTCAAGAGAATAAGATTATTTTATGATTAGCTGGATTTTTTTTTTATCAAATAACCTTACAAAATCAAACGAGGAGTAAAAACTTGATTCTTCTTACAAGAAATAAGATTAAGCATAAAAAATTATATTTTGACAATGTATGTCATGTCTGTAATTTTATGATAAAATGTATGGATTGCCATTTTCTTATAAAAATGTATTGCTAGTAATTCTACAAAAATGTATTGTTGGTCATTTTATTATAATATATATTGCTGGTATCCACAAAAATGACCAAAATAATAATAATAATAATAATAATTGTCCATATTGTATAGTAGATGAATATGTACTATCCATCCATACAAACATATTACATAGATGATCATGGCTCTCCACAATTTCCTCTCCTTTGTTGTTATGAATGACTTTTGACTCTTTACCATCCCTCTTTCCTCCTGTTCTGCTAGTCATCCATATAAACTCATTACATAGATAATCATGGCTCTCCACAATTTCCTCTCTTTTGATGTTCTATGTAACTTTTGAGTCATTCCCTCTTTGTTCCTATTTTTCTATCCATCCACACACATTATGCAGATGATCATGGCTCTCCACAATTTCCTCTCTTTTGTTGTTATGAATAACTTTTGACTCTTTACCATCCCTCTTTGCTCCTGTTCTGCTATCCATCCATACAAACTCATTACTCACTGTTTACTCCGGCTTCTCTTGTCTTCAGTATGTCCTGTGAGTGTTAAATTCTCCCAGTCCTCTTTCTTCACTATGTATCCCTGAAATTTCAGTTTTCTCTTTCTGATGGTGAACGTAATTTTGCTTGTTTCTATTTGACCTGTTACTCACATATTCTGTTCATGGTGATCACAGTATTTCATCTGTCTCTTCTTCATCTGTGAAGAGACTGTCCAAAAATCATTACCATGTAAGAGGATTTGATATTGCATAACAGTTTAGCACTCTTTTCTTTGTTTCCTTTCTCTTAATACTTTGCTTAGGTTTTCACAGGCATCTTTCACTATTTCTATACACTTCTTGATTACTGTGTCACATAATCCATTGGCTGTTACTACAGGCACAGGATTTTGCTTCTGGCCAGAAGGTGGGGTAAACCATTCTCCTCATTTTAAATGGGATGAGGCACTTGGTCCTAGAGATTCCAATGCTGTGGCCGCACTTTCCTCATTGTACTAACAGAAGTGGGTTTAGTGTAATATTGATTCTGGGGATTGGTCAATTTTTGTTCTTGACCCATATATATGTTTAATACATCCCTCCTCTGCTGAACGCGTCATATAACCCGACCTGAACTTATATATTTATTGATCATGTAACCTGATCTCCCCTTCTTAGTAATAAGGTAGTCTGTTTTTAACAGGAGTCATTACGCAGTGCCAATAAGCAAAACATGCCTATAACAAAGAGATATCTTATTTGTAGGGAAAATGAGGTTGTTAATACAGGTAGCAGTAGAAACACCTCTCACATTAAGTGGCAATGGTTAGCTTTCTGGCTATTTTTTTCTTTTAATAATTTTCAAATAGAATTCTTTTGTACATGTAACAATAGTGTAACAACTGTAAATATAAAAATCTTATATCAATAATACAAAATATATATTAATCATTTGAGAGACCCCCCCCTTCTGCCTTCCATCAGTATGGCTGATGCTAACCTCCAGGAAAGTGATTCATGTCTTCTCAGGCACACATTCTTGGGTGACATGAAGTAGAAAAAAACTTATTGAATCCATTGCTAGGTATATTGCTAACAAAGTTGGTTCACTATGTCATGCTAGAAAATCTTTCTCTCTTGAATCTATCTTGTATATCTATAAGTCTACCATTTGTCCATACTTTGAATATTGCTGCAATATATGGTCTGTTGCTCCTGCTGTATATTTAGAATTCTTGATAAAATCCAAAGAATCAGCAATATTATTGGTCCTGACCTTGTATCATGGCTTCAATCATTTTTTCATTACCGTAAGGTTGCTTCTCTGTGCCTTTTCTATAGTATCATTGTAATTGTTTGGATGAACTCTTAATAGTACCTAGACTTTATGAATTAACTGCAGTACTATATTAGCAATAAGGTCTCATTAATTTGCAGTTGAATTGGCTAGATGGAACTCTAATTTCTATGCTAACAGTTTCTTTACTCGCACTTTTCGATTGTGGAAGTCTATAATGGCTTCATACTTTCCAGACAAGTTTGATCATTAAAAATTTAATTGCGATGTCTATCGTTATGTGTCCCTGTTTACTATTTTATTGTTCTTGTTCCTTAATAATACCTCTGTTTTTTTTATTCTTTCACACACAGTAGCCCCTTGTATCTTATTGGTTTTACTGCCTTGCATGGATTGTTTTCGATTAAGAAAAAAAAATAAAAAAAAAAAACAAAAAACGAAATATTGTTGTCATTTTTTTTAGTGCCACAAATTCATAACAAAATAAACTGGAAATACAAAGGGAGGCAACTTCGTTTTACTTTACTTACTTACTTGCCCTTATTTTTTAAATTTTTTTTTTTAAGCATTCAATTTGAAATGTAAGGTGTAGGGCTCATGAATCCCATATACTTACCCTAAGTACCAGCTTAGTGAGATTCATTACTAAAATTTCAAAAAGGAGGAAAACTGATCTGTTGTAGCTTTACTTATGTTTCAATTGGAGGCATTGAAATTGAGTAAAAATGAACATTCTCTTAATAAAAAAAAATGCCTCACAAAATTAAAAAAAATACTGACTTCAGTTTCAGTAGTTTCTTTTTCTTAACACTAACAAGAACTGAAGAAATAATTAAAAATATAGCGAATTAAATATTTTTTTGTATTCTAAGATGAATTTAAAAATAATTTTGTTCAATTTCTGGGTTATCATTATTTAAATTCAGACTAAATGTCCTCCACTTTGTTGTTGTTACAGCGTTTCAGCCATTGGGACCTTTAGCCTTATTCCAGGAGTGTCTGTTGATCTGGGTAAACTTCAGGGAATTTTGTACTGAACGTTTTTATTTCCTCCACAAGGATAGAATGTTATTGTTCTGCTATCCATGTCTCAGGATATTTTGTTTCATTCTTTTTTTTTCTTTTTTACTGCTCAATTATTGTTTGAAGTTTTTCACCAAGGCTAAGTTACCCAGTTCAGAGATTGAACTCAATTAGAATACTATTAAAAATGCCCAAACCAATTCTAATGAATCTTTTAGAAGTTATGAACAAAAGAATGAAATAATTAATGTTAAAATAATAAATTTTCTATCAAAATAATTGATGAATCAACTTTAACTTGAAAAGAAATAATTAATTAGATTTATCTGTTGATTTTTCTTTTTACTACTCATCATAATGTAAATAATTTGGTTTGATTGGGTGATTTGTTTCCTGTGGCTTATCAACCCTTTGCAGGTTATTTAAAGCCAGAAGATATTTTTAGATTGTAAGAATTTTTTGAGATAATAATGATTTTGTGATACAAGACTTACTAATTAACCCATAGCTGGGGGAGAAGAGGTGGATTTATACCTTTCCCAAGGGCATTTGCACATAAGTGAATTTAATGAACCTAACTGGAATTGAAACTCTGATAGCACCTATTATCTCAACGTGGTCATCCATTTCAGTACTGGCTAGACTTTGACATTGCTTAACTTTGGGGATCATACAGGAACTAATGTTTCGACGTAATATGGCTGTAAAAAAAAATTTTGGTTCCAATCCAATAGAAATTATTGCTAAAAACATTCCCTGCCTAAATTTATCGACAAATTGAACAGATGCATGCTGGGATTTCATCATAACTAATAAAATGGATTACTTCTCTGTATCATTTGCCATATTGTGGTTTCTTTTTTCTTGTCTTGAAGTCTGAATATATAATCATTTGTGTTTGAAGATCAATCTTATTTCATGAACATTTTGCCTTATTACCATTGCTTTGCCAAATTTTGTTTTGTGTGTATATATATATATATATATATATATATATATAATTGGTAATCTGTATGTATAATTCCAGGGAGGATATAAATCCCGAGAGCTCAATGTAGTAAACAGAGCAAGTAATAATTAATTAACAAATCAGAGATTTCAGAAAGCCATGGTAATATTTTATATTTCGTGAGACCGCTAAAATTCGGTTTCACTTCGTCAGATCTTGCAGTTTCAAAACAATGAGTGGATTCAAAAATTCTTTCAGGAATCAACTGAAAAGCAAAATGAAAAACAAGATTAGCGGAAGTTGTGTTTTAAGGTAGTTACACAGTGTAGGAAAGGAGGTATATGTCTCTGGAGATACGATGGTTGTGGTGTTGAACTCTCATTCACTGGACAAGAGAGGAATAAAGAAATAGGGAGAGGCAGTGAACAGAAGAGAGGAAGGGAGAAATTGGAGATCTTATATAAATCCCCATACCCACATATATACACATTTTTCTATATACACATATAATTACACTTACACATATGTGCCTACATCCATGCACACATTTGCATCCATCTACACATATATATGTTTTCATGTAGATGTGTCCACCCATAGGTATGTGTACACATGCATATACACCCATAATATTCATCCATTTATCTATTTGTATTCATAAACACTTATGCACATATTTGACTAGTACATTTCTAAATCAGTACTTAGATAATATGTAAGATGTCCTCAAATACTGTTAAGGACATCTGACATGTTCCCTGCCTCTCCCTATTTCTTTATTTCTCTCTCTTCCCTGCCTCTCCCTATTTCTTTATTTCTCTCTCTTCCCTGCCTCTCCCTATTTCTTTATTCTCTCTTCCCTGCCTCTCCCTCTTTTATTTCTCTCTCTTCCCTGCCTCTCCCTATTTCTTTATTTCTCTCTCTTCCCTGCCTCTCCCTATTTCTTTATTTCTCTCTCTTCCCTGCCTCTCCCTATTTCTTTATTTCTCTCTCTCTTCCCTGCCTCTCCCTATTTCTTTATTTCTCTCTCTTCTGCCTCTCCCTATTTCTTTATTTCTCTCTCTTCCCTGCCTCTCCCTATTTCTTTATTTCTCTCTCTTCCTGCCTCTCCCTATTTCTTTATTTCTCTCTCTCTTCCCTGCCTCTCCCTATTTCTTTATTTCTCTCTCTCTTCCCTGCCTCTCCCTATTTCTTTATTTCTCTCTCTTCCCTGCCTCTCCCAGTCTTACGAAATATAAAATATTACCATGGATTTCTGAAGTCTCTGATAGATATAACCATAAGTTCTATTCTAATTTCTAATACTCTCTTTAGCTTGCAATTTTTCTGTGGAACACTCTTCCAGTATTTTATTTACCAGTAATGTGCATTTTTCAATAATTTAAATGCAACATCATTTGTCATCTTCTGTCTTCTTGAATTCTGTTCTTTTTTTGTCCTTTCTCCTCACTAAAGTCTTCTCATTCTCTTTCACTCTCAGTAACTGTTTGCATCTTAGTTGCTTTATCACCTTTTTAGGTTGAAATGATAAAAAAAAGTTCTCCTCATTGTTATTATCAATGCCGTGACTGAGTGTGGTTGTAGGAATGTTATTGGTTTCATGAATCAATGTGATCTATTTTCTAGATTGGGCCTAAGAAAGATATATAGTCTGAAAATTGCATTGAGGCGTAAAACTGACAGTCATCATGCAGTGTTGATTCCCATGTCTGCACTATCTATAAACACTCTATTTCCAATATAGAGTACTTTTCACAGAAAATGAGGACAATAGTCAGCATCATGTAAATAATACAAATATTAAGTATTCTTTCCCAATAAATATTGAAAATTTAAATATCTATATATATATATATATATATATATATATATATATATAGAGAGAGAGAGAGAGCGTTAGACAAACCTACCAGGTTTCACCCCTAAGTGGATCGTCAGGGAAATTTTTATGTTTGGTCACGTGGTCTTGGTCTTTTGTTTATCGCCTAAAAGTATACAGTTTTCTTTACCTTTTTAGTCAGCTTACCCTGATGATCTGCTTAGGTGAAACTTTGGTAGGTTTGTCTGGCTCTCTAGGTTTGACTAGGTCTGCTCTACTTTTGTACTGAGCACTTTTTTAGTTAGTTGATTACTCGTATTGGGTTTTTTTCTTTGGGCTTTGGACCTGTATGTTGTATGATCATTTTTGACAGATGTTCATGTTGCTAGCTCTTTCTTTTTTTAAAACCTTTTTTCCTTCGAAATTGATTTGAACATTAGGTAAATCACGAAACCAAAGTTTTTCCGAGATGAGTGTAGTTACCTATATATATATATATATATATATATATATATATATATATCTACCTACATGTATCATCATCATCATCATTTCTGTGACTGGGTGTTGTTGTGCTGTTGAGTCTAACCAGTTCCCCACATACATTGGATTGGATTGAAAGCCAAAGAGCTATTTATGCATGCGTAATCTGTCTCTGGAGAGTGGGGACCTACCAGAACACATCTCTCTCCAGGTGAAACCACAACCAATGTTCTTCAACCTGAAGCCTTGCCTTTTGGTCATGAATATGTGGTTGTTGATTCCTTTGGGGAGGAACCCACCAACCCTGGCCATTGACTTTAGTCTAGGAAGCCCTACACCCAGTGATGCTATGTTGTCAGTACAATGGCTGCCTACAAATCTATACCCTTGTACAAGATGGCCATTTACCCTACAAGAAAGTTCATCTGCCTTTTGATAGGCTTTGTTTTTACTTTTACTAAGTGTCTAGTTACCCTCCTTACCAGAAAAGTCTTGTGAAAAAACTAATTTAATGACCGATAACGAGACCATGTGGTAAGTAATACTGGAGGATATAGCGTACCGGTAGAACTTGTAGAGTCAACTGACATAAATCTTTGACATGACAAACATTAAATTAAAATCTTTATTTAAATAAATCTGGATTGAGGCTTTACAGAAAATAAACATATTCCAAATTTTCTGTTTTTATAAACAATATTTCATGGCATTAAAAGCAAATATTTATGACTAATGTCTGAACAAGATGCAGGTTATTATCTCAAAAATAGTCAGGCTTATGAAAGACGATGTATATAAACTGAGTTACTTAAAATTTTATTTATATAATGATACAGTTAAAGTAAAAATCAAATGTTTAACCATGTCATGTGAATAGCATTTCACCTTGCAAATGTAAACTTTGATCGTGTGAAATAAATTTGTTTTTTTCTGATGGCACTGGCTAATCAGTGAAACATGTCAAATTAAAATTTTCTGATTTGCCTTATATATATATATATATATATATATATATAGCATATCATGTGCTTTTGTACTTTTTATATGTAGTTAAATGTATGATTCTCTTGCAGATGTATACATCATATATAATTCTAAATTAACATCTTTAGTATTATTATCTATACTTCAATTTACTTATATTCTTTTATTTTTTATCTTTTATTATTCTTTATAAAAAATCCCTTTAATTGACTTATTTTAAATCCATTCATTCATGTTTGATATTATTATTATTGCTTTTGTTAATGCCTTCTTTATTAGACTAATTTGAAATTGTGTTGATTTTTCCTGCCTAAAATAATAGGCCATATCAGTCAATTTGTTGTATCGCTAATGTACAAATTTCCATGCTTTAAGGAAAAAAATTCTTGGCCAGGTCATTCTAATTTAGTTTTACTAATATCCCTTCATTTCTTCTTTCTTTTTTTTCTCTTCCTTTCTTCACACACACACACACACACACACACACACGCACACACACACACACACTCTCTCTCTCTCTTCTCTCTATTTCATGTTTTAAAAAGAACTTTATAATCTGTTATTTTTCTTTCTTCCTCTCCTTCTTTCTTCCCTTCCCTTCTTCCTGTTAATCTAGAATATCAGTCTGGAGAAATTGTCTCCATTTATTAAGAAATTTCGGTCTGAAGAGATGAATATATAGAAGTATTCAGAAAATAAATTATAACCGAAATGGATCTTTAAGGTTTTTTTTCTTGACTTATTGTAATGCTCTGTAGTTTACATTGACCTCTCTCTGGGTTAATATCCTCCTTGGAATTATCCCTACCAGTCACAAATTAGTCATATATATATATATATATATATATATATAGTTTTTGTGTAGAGATGTAAAAATGTTTTTATTGTAATCTATTATAATAAAAATATTTTAATATATATATATATATATATATAAAATTGCATACTTAGGTCAACACCATGTGTTGACAGTCTGTTTCATGCTTCAACACAATCTTCAGGTAATGTGTGTTGTGTTTTGGCTTGACTATATATACTGGTCAGTGGTGCATTATGGGTAGTAAAGTCTATTCAATAACCTTGGGAATAATTATAAAAAAGGATAATACGATGGACCTTACTACCCATGATTCACCACTGACTAGCATATATAAACAGTTGTGCCAAAACATAGCACACATGACCTGAAGAGTGCATTGTAGCCTGGAAACAAACTGTCACCACTTGATGTTGACCTCAGTGCCTATTTTTATATTTTATATTGAGGACTTTTACACACACACGCACACATAGAGGATGCGATGGGTAAATTGTCGCCATCTTATATTTTTAATTTTGTTTATGTGCATTGTTTTGTTGACTACACTGTATAGTAGGGTCAGTTGGGCACCATCTGTGAGAAAAAGAGCACCATGACTCAATTCACTCTGCCAGAAATTTGGAAACGCCATGCTGTACTGCTTGGCATTTGTGCCAGAAGCTCCAATATGAACATTTCAGAGTGTTTGGGTATCAATCTGAGGACAGTGCAGAGGATTCAGAAAGAGTTGGATGAGTCTAAAGGTGTTTGGAATGATCACTAGAGATGGCAATGTTATGCTTCCATTCATCTTCCTACAGGGCTTCAAACTCAACATGAAGGCCTACATCAAGTGCCTTGAGGAGATAGTGCTTCCCTAGGTCAAGAGGGTAGCTGCTGGAATACCCTATATCTGGCAACAGGACTCTGCTACATAAGCAGAAGAACCCAGTCTTATAGCTGTCTGACAATTCCTGAGACCACATCACCCCTGACATCTGGCCACCTAACTCCCTAAACTGCAACCCTCTTGATTATTATGTATGGGGTGCAGTTGAGGAAGAGATCAACAAAACTTCTTGTAACACCAAAGATGACCTGAAGGCAAAGATTATGGCAGCATTCACCAACTTAAACAAGGAGACTGTTCAGAAGAGTTGCTGGAAATTCCGAAGTTGTCTGGAGTCTGTGTTTGAAGCCAATGGCAATTTTATTGAATAAATTTACTTTTTAGTATTTCAAAATATTTTTGGGTAATTTTTCATAAATATATTTGTTATCTTGGTTTTATTAACAATTTATCCATCACACCATTTGTGTGTGTATGCACACACACACACACACACACACACACACACATATATATATATATAATTGGGAAAATTTTCTATAATTTAACATATCCTAATGATTAACCAGGAAAAGTAGTATAGTCTAGCATGATAATCCCTCACTAAAAACATAAAACTCTAATAGTATAGGTATGTTTTTTTTTCTATATATATATATATATATATATATATTTTTTTTTTTTTTTTTTTTTTTCCGAAGATGTTTCATTGAATAATATAGACACATTGTGTCTACTTATATTTATACTGATCCTTTCCAGTTGTCTAATCAGGTTCTTGATGTTGAGTTGAAATTCATCAAGGAAGTTGTAGTGTCTGTCTGTGTGTGTGTGTGTATATATATATATAAACAATAAAGTCAGCACTCAGAGCCAACAGACTGTTTCATGCTAGATGCAATCATCAGGCCACATATTTCTTCATATATATATATATATATATATATATATATATATATATAAGTTTCATAAAAACGACTGACAAGATACTACGGCTAAGTCTTTTACTTAACTTTTCTTGTGTTCTTATAATTTCCTTTCTGGACATAAATTATGTAGAATGTATATAAAATTTATGTATGTCTACATAAATTATGTAGAAATTGTCCAAATGTTCTGTATGTCTGAGCACTTTTGGCTATTCTTTTAGCCATTATCACAGATGATTTTTTTTTTTTACTTTAATGAAATTTGTATATAAAAGGTATTATTGACCAAATACACAATTACATACAATATATGTGTGTGTGTGTGTGTGTCCATATGTATGTCTTATAATATGTTCAT